AGCCATTATGTAAGAATTAGTTATCAGTCCTTTTCTCTTTTCTCATTATTACGTTTCCTAAGATAATCTAATGCCTTTGAAACATATATCTATCTACAGAGGCAAAAATCTTACTGTTTTGCTTTTAATTGTTTTTTGAGTATCATTTCAGTCACCAGATCATACTCTGTTACTCTGTTTCTAACCCTGGGTCCTATAAAAGCCTTTCTTTGAGGATAATTTCACTGAGGTCTCCAATGATTGTGTATGTATAGAGATCATTTTGGTCTATATACTTGACATCAGTCTTATTTATTCTGGATTAACTCTTATTCCTCAGTTTCAGTCCTTTAGAATCTTGTAATGTTTCCTGGACTTGGTGTTCACCAGTGCAGAGGAGCTCATTAAAGAGCTTAAGTTTGGAGGCATACTGGACTGTTGTGACCATGCTCTGGTTGAGTTTGTGATCTTGAGGATTTTTGGCCAAGCAGAAAGCAAAGTCAGGACCCTGAACTTCAGAAAAATGAATTTGAAGTTGTTTAAGGAATTATTGGGTAAGATTTCCTGGGAAGTTGTCTTAAGGGACAAAGGAACAGAGTAGAGCTAGAAGCTCTTTAAGGACACCTGGACTACATGCATTCCAGGGTCCTGAAGGAATTGGCTAATGTGGTATCAAGCCAGTCTTCATCATATTTGAAAAGTCATGGCTGTCAGGTGAAGTCCCTGGCTGGAAAAAGGGAAGTATCACTCCCATTTTTAGAAAGAACAGAAGACCTAGGGGAACTACAGGCTGAAGAGCCTCACCTCTGTTCCTGTTCCTGAAGCTCCTGAAAACTATGTTAAGGCACAGGTAAAACAAGGAGGGGATATGAGACAGCCAGCACAACTTCACCAAGGGCAGATTGTGCTTGAACAATTTGGTGGCCTTCTATGGTGCAGTGACTGCATTGGTGGACAGAGGAAGGGCAACTGATGTCATCGACCTGGACTTCTGCAAGGCCTTCTGCAAGGCCTTCAAGGATATCATTCCTGACCACATCCTTATCTCTAAATTGGAGAGATATGGATTTGAAAGCTGAACTATTTGATGGATGAGGAATTGGTTAGAAGTTTTTAGCCAGAGGGTTATGGTAAATTTCTCTGTGTCCAAGTGGTATTCCCCAGGTGTCCATCTTGGGTCCAGTGAGCTTTAACATCTTTATCAACTGTGTGGGCAGGGGGATCAAGTGCACCTTCAGCAAGTTTGCTGATGACACCAAGCTAAGTGGTGAAGGTGATACAATAGAAGGAAGGGATGCCATCTAGAGGGATCTGGACAGGCTTGAAAAGTGGGACCATGAGAATACAGTAAGGTTCAACAAGACCAGGTATCAGAGTAGTCCCAGGTAAGTGTACAGACTGGGAGAAGAACTCCTTGAGAGTAGCCCTATGAAGACAGTCTTGGGGGTCCTGGTGAAGTAAAAGTTTGACATAAGCCAGGAGTGTGCACTTGCAGCCTGGAAGGCTGATAGCATCCTCAGCTGCATCAATAGAGGGGCAACACTGGCTGCCCAAAGAAACTGTGGATACCCCCCCCCCCAAAAGTGTTCAAGGCCAAGATAAGTGGGGCCCTGGGCAACCTGTGCAGCCTAATTCAATGGTTGAATTCCTGCCCATGGCAGGGTGTTTGGAACTAGCTTATCTTTAACACCTTTTCCAATCCAAGCCATTCTATGAATCTATTTTTTTTGCTGAATCTCTGTCAGTTTAGGCATTTTTACCCTTCTATAGTTCTTTTCCTATGTCTTTTTTTTTTTTCTTTTCCCCTTTTTATTTTTTGTACTTTCATTTTAAAATATCATATATAGATATTTTGTCCTGCCTGTGTTTTCAAGGCATTCCAGTATGTAAAATGTACGTAGACTATCTTTTCTCACTTGCTGGCAAATGATCAGTGCTTGCATCTACTGAGTCTGATAAGTGTTTACTACTGATCAGTTTTTATTTCACATTAGATTTTCAGATAAGCACTTTGGCACTTCTCCTTGGGCTGTTTCTGTACTGGAGAGGAATTAGGAATACAGACATCCAAAGTTGCTTCATATTTCTTCTTCTAATCTCTCTTAAAAGATGGCAAAATGTTGGTAAAATTCAATGACAAGATGTTACATGTTCAGATTACATTCTAAAATGAAATACTTGATTTCACAGTACACAGTTTGGCAGTATTAGTCTGCAAGACATACCAATATCTGCACTGCAGCATGCCAGCACAGTCTTTTATTGGACTGTCCTTGAACAGGATCAGTAAACCTCATCCATATATTAAAAATCAATCAATCATCCAAAGAAAAATCACATCTGCTAGAAATGGGCTTGTTTTTTACATTTTTTTAAACCAGTTTCTTGGAACATTTCATAATAAGGTTTTATGATGTAGACAGTGTAAATTGTAGGGTGGTGGTACACAAAACTGACGTTGTCAAAAGTGTTAATAAAGAGAACTACAGTCTAGTCTTTTATAAGGATTTTCCTTTATTCTTCTTTTTTATATTCATCTTTTGTATATATTTACTTATAATTTACATAAAATATGCACATCTTACATTAAAATGGTATTCAAATAAAAAGCTCACAATTTTTTATCTGTACAGTGGAACTCTCTGTGACACTAATAGTGAAAATTCATAATGATACCAAAACTATGGGAACCAGTTTTTTTGTACTGGGGCGAAGATACTGAAATTCGATGGTTGGCACTGCAGTGATTCTTATTTCAATTCCTCTCATTCGTGAAAACCTAGGTTGTGCTGCACACCAGTAGAATTTTTACTGTCAGTGGGAAGGCATGCATCAAATTGGTAGCATAGCCTTTAAAACGTGATATTTGCTTTGGCAGAGCATCTTCAGATAGTTCTAGTCAATGGTGCCATTGAGTCTGACAGTGACTGAGAACACCTCACCTTTTACACTATTGCAGCCTGTTATTTTTAATGGGAAGTTACAGAGCCATTAAATTGCTAAGTATATTTTATTATTAATTATGTTTTAGAAATATGCATAAACCAGTAAAATGTACCTTAAATTGCCTCCTTTCTGCGTGTGTGATGTAGTTATCACAGGATATGAAGAACATTATAAATTGGATTTGGATTAGAGCAGCATAAAAGATCACATCATTATCTGCGCCACTCTTTTATGGGAAAGTAACATGTACATTATAAGGTGACGAGAAATGATTTAACGTTCAGTTCTGACACATCCTCCTGCATCACTGTTCCTGCATGCAGAATGACTACAAATCCAAAACTTCCCCATCCTCTTCTTTTCTTCAGTAATCTTTGCAGAAATACCTAACTCATACCATAAAATAACCAGTGCAGAACAATATCCCGTAGGTTTATAATAGCATGGAAATGTTATAATATGATCTTCATGTGTGATAGAGAAGGAAGATTTTAGAGTTGCTTTCCGTGGATTAGAGTGGAAAGCCAAAGCAGCTGTTTCACAGTCACTATACAGCGTGTTCTGAATATCTTAGAGTCATAGCATCATAGAATCATCAAGGTTGAAAAGACCTCCAAGATCACCCAGTCCAATCATTCACCTACCACCAATATTTCCCCACTAACCCATTCCCCTCAGTGTAACATCTAAATATTTCTTGAACAAAGAGGGACTCAATGCTGGGCAGTCTTTTCCAGCACCTGATTAATCTTTCGGAGGAGAAATTTTTCCTAATATCCTACCTGAACTTCCTAAATGCATGTAACCATGCTCTGAAAATAATACACAGTATTCAAACCTTGTCAAGCTATTTATATATACTAAAAGCATTTATGTGATCAATTTGTTTGACTACTTTTTCTGCTGTTTGAAATCTGTAATTTGACAAAAAAAAAAAAAAAGGTGATAATCCCATAGAATTATATCTGTATAAGTGTTAAATTGATTTGCATAATTAAGAGAAGAGAAAACATATTCAGCATGCCCACTTTATTGTTATAACAGAAGAAGAAAATATTTCAATTACTGATCTCCTGAGAATTTCTATGACAGCCAAATGAAGACATAAATTTTCTACTGGAATAAAGTGGAACATGATGAAACCATTCTTTTGCTATATAAAAAGTGAAGAGCTGAGTAAAGAAATGCAAGTCAGACAGGACCTACACCTCTGAAGACAGCTGGTGTTTAAATCTGAGTCTTTCCAGTTCTTTTCTTCAGGTATGTCCCTGTACCCACATGGAATAATGTTTCTGTATCCAATTCAATGAGATCTTTCTAATGTAATTTTGTCTCTTGCTGTTTTTGAACCATATCAGTGAAGTAACATTAGTATTTTTCTTTATCCCTTTTCACTTATGAATAGTACCTCTGCATAATATTAGTGGAAACAAATGAATCTCACAAAGTGCTGAACTCCTCCAATTCTACTTAATCCTGAAAGAAAACGTCAGGAGAGTACTGAGGTTAGTTATATTCAAATGTTATTATTCTCATTCCATTATCCATTTATATTCTTTAATGCATTTATAAAGACATACACATAAACTAATAAGTGCTAAACCTTTGTGAAAAGCAAGCCATGCTCTGTGAAATGTAATTTATTCTACCTTGATGTTCATTCTCAAAGAAATTCTTTATTTTTCTTTTATGCTTGGAAACAATCACTTATAAGATAACAATCTTATAGCAGTTTGGTCTCCTCCTATGATAACTGCTTGGTGGATGAAGGGAAGGTGTTGGCTGTATGTGATGGTGCGCTTCCCCCGCTCCCTCTACCCCTTCTTTCTCTCAATTCCATCTTTCAACCTGGCCTTACTAACAAAGCCTTGCATGGGAGGATGACAAATAGTACTAATAACACTCTTGCTGGGACAGGTTAACAACCACAAATCTATCTCAAATTGAGAGGCTAAAAGAACTGATAGCAGACGCCTGGATCAACAGGTGAAGACCAATTGAGCATGTGTCTAAAAAACAACAAATGGCTGTGAGTCCATCATCTTACCCGATAGTGAGCAGCTGAAGAGCTTTTCTGGGCTTTCCTTAAGAGCAGCAGGTTATGTGATAGGATGTTCTCTTAAGTAGGTATGATTCTCAAGGTTATGCTTGTGTAGAGATCATAACATCAGGATGTTTTGCTGATCAATACAGGACTTCTGTAAGTGACTGTTTGTTTTAGCCTTTGTTAGCCTTTATAAGATAACATCTTAGATTGTGAGATTTGTTAGCTTCACTGAAGTTATATCTTAGTTTGGTTCTACACGTATCCCTCAAACACAAACTAAATCTGGGACTAGGAGTAGATTCTGCCACACCTAGGCTCTTACCTCTGTGGTTCAAGGAATATGGAAAGAAAGGGAATCTATTCTGAACCTTGTAGCTCAACAGGAGGGTCTCCTGTCTGTGTGTAATTCAGCCCACTTTGATGTAAATAATCAAGTGTATCTAGCTATCTTGAATCCTGTTAAGTCAGTGTTAAATCATAACACTATGTCTGTAATATGTAACTGAATGTGTCCTAGTTTTTCTCTTACGAGTGCAGTATAGCATAGTTTCCATCTGTGACAACACGATCTTTCTGGATTTCTGTAAGGTCTTTGATACTATCCCTAGTGGCATCCTTCTGAACACAGCGTCCATCTGTGAGGTAAATGAGTTTGTGTTTTGCTGGGTGATGAACTGGCCTAACAATATTGCTCAAAGGGGTTTTAGTAAATGGGGCTACATCTGGCTGGTAGTCAGTCACCAGTGGTGTTCCCCATGGCTCACTTCTAGGTCCTACACTATTTACCATCTATATTAATGGCCTGGTTGAGGGAGTGAAATCCATTCTCAGCAGGTTTGCTGCTGCTACTAAGCTGGGAGGTGTTATTCACGCTCTGGAGGAATGAGAGGCCTTAGAAAGGAATCTAGATACACTGGAGCATTGTGAAGTCATTAATGGCATGATGTTCAACAAAAGTAAATGCTTCAAATATAGTAATGCTGGACGCAGGCAGACACTGGGAGAGAAGCAGCTGGAGAGCAGCTCTGCTAGAAAATGACCTGGGGGTGCTCATGGCAGCAGGGTCAGCATGTGCTGGCAGTCAGGAGGGCAAAACACATTAACAGCTTTGTGTCTGCCCAGTCCCTCCACACTGCAAGTGCTGTGACACCAGCAGCAAAACAGAGATTACAGACCCCACTGTTTTAGAAGTCATAGTTTTAGAACTGGGGTCAGACAGTAGGGTTCTGCCCCTACTTCTTCCAAAGGCTTTTACAGTAATGATAGCCAGGAGAAAAGACTCTTTAAACACCAGCTTCCTTTTATTTTATAGGGATTACCCCATCTAAAAATTTCTCTGCACTCAGCTTGCTTAAATGAATATTGGGAGAGTGTAAAGTGCTGACAGCTTCAAGACTGAACAGAGCATAGTTACCTAGTTCAAAGTAGTAGCTTATGTTTTCAGAAATTTGATCTATACAGTGAAAAATAATGCTTTTCCAGCTTCAAATAGCATTATCTCATCCAAGAGAACAGGTCTATATGTATTTCTACATATTGCTTAGCCCAGGTATTCCCACTGATAGTTCACATTAGCTGCTGGCTGGCTGTCCAGCTCACCTGCTACATGCAAGCGCAGGGGCAAAGCTGGACTGCTTAAGGACTCATAAGGGTTATGGAGTGCAGCTGGTGGCCTTTTCTGGACAGCATCCTCCCTGTAAACTTGTGGGGTCAACATCTCCCACTCTGTTGGAAGTGGGTGTCTGGGAGGTCTCATTCAGGGTATCAACCAACCTAGTAGAAGATATTTTCATGGAACCAGCAGGTTTAAAAAGCAATTTGCACATGTAGGACATTATGGTAAGTCGATAAGATGATTGAAGAGGAGTAAAGTCTGTTTACCTTTAAAATTAGAAACTTAAGTTGTGTCTGTATCTGTAACTGCTGGCCTGTGTCAGAATTATTGGCACCACAAATGTTTTTATGACTCGCCATAGAGATGTGTATGAATATTTGCGTGTATTTGTACACCCCTAAAAATATGTATGTGTATTTAAATGTATATGTATTAGTGCTGCAGACTGGATTTGACACTCAGAAGGGCATCCTAGATGTATTGGTAAGATAGGGGCTGCACACAGTGCTGTCCATCCCCAGAGGCAGGACTAGGTAGCCACTGAATAAGACTAGGAGTAGAACCGGTATCATAAATCTTGTTTTCCTTGTGATGTACCAAAAGCAAAGGTGTCTTTGTTCACTGTTCATACAGCTTTTGAAATGGTTCTTCCTTACTCATACAATGACAGTTATGCTGGGAGCAGATGAGAAAAAAATCCAATACTATCACTGTAATAATAAATCTAAGTGCCAGAACTCAGTCTTCACTCTTGCACAGTATTTCACAGTATTTCAATGCCTTTCCAACTCCTTGATGAATAAACCAGCACAGGTCTCAAAAGGTGAGTATTCTGAGATTTTCTTTTCTCACAGATGTTGAGATTTTCAAAATAAGCTTAGTTAAAACAAACTTTGTATTCTGGAAAGATTTTTCAAATTTTTCTGTTTAATTAGTGTTGCCAATTAGATGAAAATGTAACATTAGAGACCACAGGTCATTAAAGATGAATAGAAACATATTTCTGTGGAGAAAGGGAATAAAAATTACTTTGGAAGAGCTTTTGTGAACTTAGCAAACTGTGTATATTTTTCCAGAGTTTTAGTTTTTAACCTGGATGTATTGAGAAGAGCTATCATGTAGATACTCGCATGTAAAAACCAAAACATTATTAATTTTGCTTAACTTCTATTACAGTCCCAATATTCCATCATGTGTTATCAATGGGCTTTGCCTACTTTGCCTTTTCTGAGACAAATACTTATATGGAGTCTTGATGCCAATGCACAAGATATTACCAGGTTTTCATAAAGCAACCATTAAATCAGTGTTTTGCAATTAGCATTTTGTTTGTGCTTTCACTCAATCATTTCAAATTTTTTTTTTTTAATTGGTAAATTGAAATTTATAAAAGTCTGTATTTATTCCAGTGGAAGAAGTAAGCAAGGCAAAGTATTAGCGAAACAAACAGGATAGAGATTGCATGCACTGTGCTAGTTTCTCTCTTCCTCAATTTATTTTGTACATCATAGATGGAAAACTCTTAAACACCGTTGAGCATAACGTCGAGTATTTTAAGAGCTAATCCATGCAATATTCAGAATTTCTACAACATATTATATGGAGCCTTAAAAATATTACCATTTCAAGAGGTGAATTCAAATACAACTTTGCATTGCTGAGTTATTTTTCGGTGGGATAGTGATATCGTATATAATACACAAAAAGTGAAAAATTGGAGAGACATGAAGAAAAGTTGCCATCATATCAACCTGAAGAGATTGAATAAACCAGCACAGGTCTTGAAAGGTGAGGAGATTTCCTTTTTTACCTTTCCCTTTTTTAAGATTAGCTTCTCTTTTTATGAGTTTTAGCTTGATTGTTTTCCCCAATAACTACATTATTTCATATTTTGTGGCTCATTATGTACACTATGTCTGAGTTATGTTAACTATCACTTTACAGTCTTGATCATATTTAGCTGTTGCTTTAACATCTGGGAATTCTCTGTGAGGAAAACCAACTTTTTTTTTTTTTTTTCACAGTTCCTATTCTGTCTGCCTTTTATACTTTGATTTGAAATATTTCAGGAATTATGCAAGCATTTCTTTATAATAAAATAATATCACAGCTTTCTGGCAAAAAAAAAAAAAAGACTATATACTTAACATAAATTGTATACAGGATATGATGAGATATGAGGCCATTAAGTCCAAAGAATGACATGAAACGAAGTAAATTGTCACTAGGAAATTAGGAATAGTTGAAAAAAGTGACTTTTTTTTTTGTAACAGTCTCAGTTTTGGAGACTGAATCTTTTATATGAAATTCCAATCTACTCATGATGACAAGAAGATTCTCTGTCAGACGACACTTCAGAGTTAAAATCATGCCAAGGCTTCGCTTGTTAATCTTTTGCTCTGTTTTTGTCAGTCAGAACTCTTGTTGTTGAAAGACTAAGCAAAATAATGGAAGTAGAAAATATTACTCTTCCTATTTTGAAGGAATTTGAATTATGAAATCATTGCATTTGAAACTCCTTTCTAAAAATTCAGTTCTAGATGTTATATGGTCTGAACAATAGATTTTATCAAATTCTCTGTATCATTTTACCTTCATGATTTTATCTCAGAATTTAGAAGTAGTTAGATTTCCAGTTGTTGTACCTATAGAACATTTTGATCACACCACGGTTCATACAATCCTCAGAGTGAATTATGTGTAGAATGATATTATTTTACAAATCACATATTAAGTACAAAAATCCATTGAAAAGCAGTAACAGTTCAGAAATATCTTACTCTCCAAGTTGTACTATCCTGCTCTGTGCTGGTTGGGGTATGGGCACTTGGTCTTCTTACTCACAGACTCCAGTTTTTTCCAGATCTTTCAGTCAGAATTCGTCCTGGTGCCGAGTTTACTGTTTCATATAATGACAAGAAACAGACAGAGGAATGAAGGGAATGTCACCTCATTGGATACCCACTTAGAATTCATTCATTCATCTCATTATCAAATATATTTTTGCCTTTGATTTTTTTTTTCCATCAGTTCTAGAAGTTGGTGTTGCTGATTTCCCTGTAGTGTCTCTGCTCCTGGTAACATTACCTAACATTTTTTAATTCTGCCTAACTGCTTTCTCTGGGATTGGTGCTAAGATTAAATATCGTTATATTTGCCATACTTGACAGGATATTTTTCCTTGTTTGAAGTAGCAATTAAAATGAAATAGAGAGATTTGGGAACATAAAGATTGCAGTAATCAGCTGAAATAATTATTTCCTTTGTTCATCTACAGCTAAGAATATTTTCAAAGTCTTTTCTAAACTACTTGCTCAAGTGAAAGCAGTTCCACAAGGAGGGGAAAAAAAAAAAGGGATGCCTTTCATCTTGTGACATCACTTACGCTTTAAATTGGGCATCAAGTCTGTGATGTTCAGGCCCCTTCAGCTGAAAGGCCTCTACTAAAATTTTGCTGTAAATACTGACACCACATGAAGCCCCAGCTTGTGGCTCTTCTACAGTACATACCTACCATGCCCATTTTCAGCTGACACTTTTCACAGTTCTGTGAATGATTTCTCTCAATTGATGTGTTCTCCCAATTCTCAGTCCCAATAATTAGTGACATTACACAGCAGATACTTGTTTCAGGATCCTAAAGAGTCAAAGACTATCCCAAAACAAAGCTATCAAATAGCCTTCTGAGGATGAAATGAAAATAAGGTCTGGCAGCACTACCTGCTTCCATCAAAGTTCGTCTGAATTTTGAGCACTCCGAAAATGAGCATTTGTGTGTTATTAATTAAATTACATACAAGCCATAAAAAACATCTAGCTGTTACTTAATGATTTTAATCACTTTTTTTTTTTTTTTTTTTTTTTTTAATTTTATGATTGCCAATTTCAAGGCTATAGATAACTTGAATTATCTACAGGTAAGTCCAACCTCACCCAAACCCACTGAGGTTCATAACCAAATGGAGAGAGTCAGGTACATTTAGCAAGAAATAATGGAAAGCCTGAAATCCAACTGATTGGCACCCAAACAAAATATAATTTATCTGAGTTACCTTGGAATACTTCTGGAGTACATGTCCTACATTCTACTTAGTAGAGAACTGAACTGTGTCAAAGCCCTTCTTCATTTCAATTAAAATGCTCCTAATAGCAATTGTTGATAATTGAAGAGATGTTGCTTTTTTTATTATATTTTTTTTTATTTAAGAGATAATGAAGTGTTTGAAACTCTCTAACCTCTGATATCATATCACTGACAGTGCAAATGAAGAAGGAGGTATCTGTTTAAGGCGACTGAACATCATCTGCATCACCAAGCATGGCACAGGAAGTCAGAAGGTGTTTCATTGCTCCTTTACAACCAGTGGACTGCTCTGGTTGCTCAAGCAGATAATAAGCTGGCTGTACAGTGGTAAGTCTTGGCATGGTTTATTTTCTGTTCGCAGGAAAATCCTTCCTTTACTATTGATGTAGAGAGTTTGTCAAAATGTTGCAGTCAAATGCGGGTGCTCTGAAATTTTGTGCCTGTAGAAGACATAAGGAAAAACTGTGGACAGATTCGTGGAGAGCACTAGGGTGGAATAGTGCTATCTTGAAAATATGCAGGATGTCGGTTACTCCACAGGGCTGATCAGCAGCTGTGCACTGTAAATGCCCAGAACAGGTGGAGCATAGCAGGCCGCTTGGCTTTGCTGTAAAGTACCTCTGGGCAAGTTGAATGAGGTTTTGGTGATCTGACAGCATTTCAGAACATCATCCAGCTCCAGTGAAGCGATCTTAAAATTTAAGCATTTTCAGCCAATAAACCTGTTGATGGGACTAATAGAAGTAACGTGCTTGAAACAAGTGTGAGAAATATGAAGAGAAAGGTAATCAAGATGTTTTTTCCCCCTCAGCCAACATATGAGATATTTGTAGATGTACCAGTTGAACCATTCAAACATCTGATATATGTCACTTATAAAAATCTATATGTTTACCCTAGCATATAGGCATACAAAAATTTTAGCAGCCTTGCAGATAACAGAAGGAAAAATAACTTGAGGATTTGGAATATTAAGGAGCTTGACGTTTTGAGAGCTGTTGAACACTGTACATTCTCTCAGCAATGATCAACACAAAGTTATTTAGCACAGGTGTTTATGTAATTGAGATTCATTAGGAAAAGTAGCAGTGCTCAATGAGCCTCAAACTTGCATTTATGCTCTTATGTTTAAATACACTTCTGTTAATTATAAAGAGTTATGGTATGAAATAAATACCATAACTTGCTCGTGTAAGAAAACCTGCTGATGGATTTTCGAGGCACATATTTCTTCATTTCTTAAGTTGCTGCATAGCTGGATTTTGTAACAGACAATGTAGAACACAAAACCACTTCAAGGATTTCTACACAGAAATCCTTGAGCCAAAACGTTTCTCCTGCTACTGCAGTATTGGCAACATTCCCTAACAGCAAATGTGCAGCTGAAAACAATGCAGATGTAAATGAGTGAGTTTTCAAATTCTAATCCTATGATACTTTTATCACTCTACTCAGATGCTTGATGTTCATTAAAAACACAAAAGTGATGTTATTTTTTTTTTTCCATGTGTGTGTTTTTCCTAGATGTCTTTCAGGCATTTGGGTACACCAGTTTTGATCTGCTTAATGCAGCTATCAGGGAAACTGTTACCTTAGTAAAAAGCTGTGAGCTTCAGTGTCTGAGCTGATAAAAATCTACTATTACAAGTCAGTGATATGCCATATACAGAAAGTATTGTAATGAAATGCCTGTGAATGTACCTGGCACAGCTGAGGAGTACAGCAATGGCAGAGGCATACAGGCACTGTACTGACATTAAATTTAAGAGATTTTCCACAGCTCAGAGAGTAGGATTTGTGCCAAACAAAAGGATCTTAGTTCTGTCTCAACAGTCACCGTTAGGATATATTCACACCCGTAAAGCTGTGAATGCAGCTCCTTTTATCATTTGCTTAACTGCTCAAAGCAAGAGCCAAGGTTCTGAAGGCTTTCTGTCACTACAGCAGAACTCTGCTCTGCCATTTACATGGCATGCAGTTGAATATTGATAACTTTTGTTTGGTTGCACAAACTGTGGGCTGCATAAATCCTAATGGCCTGAAAATCCTTCATTTGTTTTATCAAATCTAGATGAAGGATAGCCTCCTTGTACATGGAGTATTTACTATATGAGAAAGATCCATAAACTACTCAGTTGTTATGTTTTTACTTTTTCCAGCTAATGATGAAATGTTATTAGAAAGGTAGGTTTAACAGGTTAGCTGCCTACTGTAAGAGCAGAAACTTAACCTACAATGTTTAATTTAATGGAAATGTTTTTAAGAGCTATCAAATGACCAAAAAAAAGAAAGAAAATAGAATTGTCAGTGGTGTCTACTATTGTATTCACATGGTGCACTGGAAGAAGTCCGTAGGCTGGTCACCTACAAAATGTTTCTCATCTACAATCCATCTCCATCAGCAGAGGGGTGGCCAGCAGGGACAGGGAGGTGATTTGTCCCCCTCTACTCTGCTCTTGTAAGGCCCTGTCTGCAGTACTGTGTTCAGGTCTGGAGCCCCCAGTACAAGAAAGACAGGGAGCTGTTGGAGAGGGTCCAGAGGAGAGCCACAAAGATGGTCAGGGGGTTGGAGCACCTCCCTACAAAGACAGGCTGAGGGAGCTGAGCTTGTTCAGCCTGGGGAAAAGAAGGCTGCGGGGTGACCTCATTGCAGCCTTTCAGTACCTCAAGGGAGCCTACAAGCAGGAGGGGAGTCAACTCCTTAGGGTAGATAACTGCAGGACAAGGGGAAATGGTTTGAAGTTGAGGGAAGATTTAGGTTGGATGTCAGGAGGAAGTTCTTTACTATGAGATTGGTGAGGTGCTGGAACAACTGCCCTGGAGGTCTTCAAGGCCAGCTTGGAAGGGGCCCTGGGCAGCCTGATCTAGTATTAAATGTGGAGGTTGATGGCACAGCATATGCTGGGGGAGTTGGAGCTTCATGATTCTTGAGGTCCCTTCCAACCCTGGACATTTCATCGTTCTGTGATTCTGTGGTACAGTCCTTTTGAAGACATACTACTGAAGATGCAGAGCTCAGATAACTGGCAAAAAGAATTGTTTACTTTTGCAAGATGTAGGCTACATAATGTGCTTTGTGAATTCACTGAACCTGATGAGCTGTTTTTATTTTGCAGACTTTGCTCCAGAACTTATTCCTCAGTTTTATTTCAAGTAAAGTTGTTTGGATCAGGTTTTTGAACCAAGCACTTCTGTGATGGCAAAATTTTCATTAGGGATTCTCTCAGTTCTTAACAGACTTCAATTCATGATGCTTTTACTTGCTGATGGATAGCGCTGCAAATGCATTTAAGTCATCTGCATGAGTTACTTGGATATTCTTGTTAGTAGATATTCACATAAATATTTTTAGCAATTCTCCATAAACATTCTTACAAACAATTTTTTTTGTGTTCTCAAATGTTTTTAAAAGCTCATGGAAGAGTGACAAATACACAATTACTGAAATTACTTCAAATAAATATTCCTAAGTGTATTTTGCAGTTTGGGCCCAATAGGCTCATCAATTTATGTTCCTTTATTTTTCTTATAATTCTGAATTTTTAATATAATTGTTTTAACTATTGTATATTGGTGAATACAGTAATGTCTCATGCTAGTTAAATATATTTCATGTCTTAACTGTACAGTATATACATGTACATAATAGGTAGTGTCTGCCAGTGGTAGAAAGTAGATTTCAATTTATAAAAGCACAAACTGTAAATAAATTAAAGACTGATGCAACCATCAGAAAACTGCATGTGGAAAAAACATGTCATACTAAGTGAAATAAACATTACAATCTAGTAGGAATGACCTCGCAGAGAAACAAAGTATTTTTAAGCAAACTGTAAGAAATTTACTGTTTACTGATCATTTACATA